TTGACTTTTGATTTGATTGGCTTATTCCTCCTTGTCTTCTTCCTCCCAGAATTTGTTCCAGGTGTCTTCTTATCAGATTTGACACCTCACCTTTTCCCTCACATCTCGTTTTTGTCAGCCATTTGAGGAAATCCTACAGTCAGGCATGTGGACTACACCTAATGCATTCCTGTCCCATTATTTACACCATATCCCAGTTTCTTCTTCATCAGGTTTTCATGTTGCACCTGTGGCTGTTCTTCAGGCTTCAGTGCAACTTTGACTGGGTAATTTTATATTCGTACTTATCTTTTCTTTTCAGGGGCCCTTGCTTCATTTATTCATTATATGGATTCTGCTCTGTGGCAAGTAATGCCTAACAAGGTATTCTTTAACTTGAAATCTGTACTGTACAGCCATATTGATTTGTGCTTTAATTTCCATGGCTTCGCAATATTCACTGTTGAGATGGGGTTTTCCACAAGATTGCTTGTACGTGAATAAACTCGTGATGTAATTGCTTCATAAACTTTCCCATTCCAGACTGTACCACCCATAGACTGCATGGGTAAAGCAGAATGGGAGAGCTGCCCATCTGCTATGCCTTGTATTGAATAAATGGGTATGGTCTGCTTTTCAAAATAGGGTTTCGTGGTCACCCATTATCTCAGGGGATGACATTCCTCCAGACTCTCCACTGCATTCTCAACCCCCTTTATTCTAGTGGAGTATGGGAGTCCTTACCACTTTACAGTTCCGAGCTGCTAGGTGGCTGACCATGGAGGTATACTCCTGAATGGGTTCCACACAAAGATGGTTATAACCATTCAGTGCAGAGTAGGGCGGTGGTGATGTGCTATCTTCAAATACGCAATATACACTCATAAGGGAGTGAGACGTTAAATTGCAGTTCACCCCTTCGATTGGGAGCCCTCAACCCGTGGATGTCGATACCCCATGGCTGGGTTTTGGATTTAGAATAGAACCAATCAACATAAATCCTCATGCATGTTTATGGTTGTATATGTTCCTCCCTAAATAATACTCCTCTTTTGTTGTGGGTCACAGTGGAAGTAAGGGGGATTGTTCCGGTTCTGTCCTTTTTGCTATCCCTCATTCTATCTTATTCAGAGGATGTTATTGTTTTTCGATGGTTCTGGTCAGTTTCACTGTTGGGGGAGTTCATTTATATTACATAGACATCCTTTTGATACCAGATGTCGGATCTCCGGATTGATAGATCAAAGCTAACATGTGTCATGCTCAGGAGTCAGAGTGGATCTAGATTCCCTCAGGTCTCTTGAACTTGAGGTGAAGACTGTATGATTCTCCTTGTACCCCATGTGGATGTTGGTTCCCAGCAGCGTGAGTTTTGAATGTAATTGACTTACTGAGTACGGCTCATCATGCCCTAGCCTCTCTGCACCTAAGGGCACATTCGTTGTTTTACCTACTTTTATACTTGGTTCGATTGAGTTTCATATATATTTCAGGGTTAAGATCACTATCCTGCCACAGTTCTCTCCCACTTGGATGTGCTCCTCTCTTTTTCTGCCCTTATCTACTACACATTTCATGGATGGGTGAAGAGTATACCTGGTTAAGAAGTGGTGCAGTTCCCCCATGAGATTTTTAGATCTGACTCTCTCATTTCCAGGGGTATCCTTTGGATGCTTTTGGGGGGTACTTCTATTATTCCCTTGCCCCAGTCTTGCCACCTGATCAATGTGGGATTCTAGCTAATCTTTTGTGAAGAGGGAAGTACCATATTGGAAGTTGTAATTTTCCTATACTCCAGTGCTTACATCTTCTGCCAAACCTCGAAGTGCTAGTTCGGTAAAGGCACATATAGGGAGTCATATGCATCACGTAAGTATGTCATGCTCTTATTGGTGGAGAAGTGATGCATGATGATTTACTGATTTACACAAGTGACATTTGATTCCAATGGGGGGGGGGGCAAAAGGCTTGTGGCATGTGTAAAGAAAAACTTGTATATAGAGGGCAGCACTTGATGAGAATAACTAATGTTGTGAGCTGAGGGAGGTACTTATCGGAAATACATTTTCAGTATAGGAAATTTACAACTTTTGGCTGAAAAATGTCTTCTTTTTTTAAATTTCAGACTAAAGTCAGGACACTTGTTTGTGATAAATTTACGAAATGAGGAAATGCAATGTGCTACTAGTATCTTTGTTCAGGTTTGTGAGAATTTACAATACTGTTATTCATAGATAATTAACTATACTTTATAAATGAAGAAATGCAATGTACTACTAGTATCTTTGTTCAAGTTTGTGAGAATTTACAATATTGTTATTTATAGATTACATGTACACATAGCAAATTTTTATTATTAACTATACTCTGTGAAATTTTAGTTTTAATAGGAAAAGTGATCTAACATAAAATATTTCTTTTACTTGTGTTTGTTGAAAATTATGTAAAAAAAACTGAAATTATCTGAAAGACTGTGTTTCTTAAAAGTTGAGGTTATGTGAAATTAAAGATTAAAATCACTTTAAACCATAAGGTTGTCTTTGTATGTATGATATTGAAATGTTTTCTATAAAAAGATATATCTTTGCATGTATTAAGGAATCTCATTTGCATAAATTATCAGATATTACTGTACATTTTCATAAACTTGAAACACAGTTATATGTAAAAAAAAACTAACATATATATTTTTTTATTCAACTTATATTTTATGCATTCACATTTAGATCCTACATTTTCAATCTTTTGGCATTTATCTGTTACAGGATTTAAAAATATCACTAATGTGTTTGTCCCTTACAGAAAATGCATAAATGTGATTATATGGATAGAACTTATTATGGGTAATTTTGTAATATTTTAATTAAGGTTAGTAAAAGATATAACTCTATAATTTTTATTTACTATTTTAATACAACAAAGTGTAGTGGTTTACTAGTCATTATTTTCAGTACCAATTTTTACTATCACTTAATAATTTAATTTTTTAAGGATGAACATGTGTCTTCTCCTTACATATTAGTGTTTTCAAACTGTTTATATTATTATTACTCTTTTTCTGTGCTTGCTTTCTTGTCTAGTTCCTGACTTTGCGTATATGTCACATAACACATTGATGCTAATCCTGTCACGTAAAGTTTAGTTTAGTGGATGAAATGTGTTAATTGATCATTTCTCTATATTACTTTTACTAATACTTGATGATTTAAAATTTCTAATGATTGAAAAAAAAACACTCTGAAAAATTCTAATATGTTGAAATCATTCTTTGTACTTTATGATGTGTAATGTAATATGTACATTTCAATGTGTGTAATTCTATGTATGCTTTGTTAAATGTAGTAAGTGAAAAGAAGTTAGAAGAAGAGAGAAATCTGTGAATCTTACTTTGAAAACAGCTAAACTGAAACATGATTTTTAAACAAAAACTTAGTTTTGTAATTTCAAAAATACTTAGTGTAATATCTAGGGCTTGTACATTTATATATATTCCCAAAAAAAAGGAACAAAATCAAGTTTTTTTAAGAACAAAAGTAAAAAAAAAGATACATTAGGTAATTCTGTTCATTCAGGTTTAAAAAAATCACCTTCACCACAAACATACCAAACTAAATCTAGCTCTTCATATCCATATATATATAGTTCAACAAGAGTTTAAAGAAATTTAAATTAAGATCACATACGATATCATCAGGCAAACCATTTTACAAGTGTATAACTTTAGCAGAGAAAATAACTTAGTCAAGTCTACATATAGGTCTCCAGAACTTATTTTTATTACCCATAATATATGTTACATTTCTAACATTTTTGTTACATCGCTGTAACATACCATCCATTAAAGATTGTCCAAATCCCAATAGTTTTACTCACCTAAAACAAGACAACTTTACATGTAGCTCATTTAAACTTTGCAGAAAACCATTCCAAAACTATAATCTTTTCATAGTTGACATTTCCTAAACTATGCCGCATTTGGCGTATACACTGTGGAATTCATATCCCATTATTAAAGCAAGGATATCGAAAAGCTTGAAAGAATGCAGAATTATTAGGATATATGAAAAAAAGCAAGATGGCAGAAGGCCATTTGGGTTATTAGTACTTTCGCAGCATGATTTCCCTAATTATGCAATAGGAATGTTAGGCCTCATTGTAAACTCTGTCTTAGATACTGCTAATTTTATGGCTTTATGTTATGTTTTATGACAGAGTGACTCCATTGACAGCTTCTTCTTGAGTGCACCATTGATGGTGCACACTGTGATTTAAATAATAATAATCCATATGATCATGATATTTAATGATTTTTTTTCTAAGAGTAATTTGCCATTTTGTAGAAGAATTATGAATATTTCACAATTTTACGGTCGTAAAAAAGGGACATCAGATAAAATAATCTCTACTGCAGAAGATAATAGTTCAAAGATTGTGATGGGAAGCCTACAATGCACTTGTAGCATTTCAATGAAAATTAGAATAAATCATAATATTCATTGTCTATCTTTTTTTCTCCAATTTTCATAAAAACTTTCTAAAGAAAACAATGTCTAATTAGTTTTTTGTTTCATTTAGTTACTATGAAAATTTTATTTCCATTGAATTTCTATCCTTATTATATTAAAGTTTTCATAACAGTTTTTATTTATGAAAGAAGTCTCAGTTTGTTAGTTTTTTTATTCATTTACTCACAAAGAAAAATTTAATGCCAGTCTCTAGATGTAATTTTAAAATAAATAGTGATTTAATCATGTAAATTTGTTTTATTTCAGTTCTCCTTTCAACATGGCATATATGCTCCACCAGTGGTACATGATAGAAGGAGTGGCTTGATTATAGCTTTCCATACAAAATAAATGCTTTCATATAGGACTTTGGAGATATGAGGTGCATTTATACCTTATGGGTGCTGTGTACCACGGGTGGCACATGATGTCCAACAGAAAACATGCAAATGTACCACTGGTGGTGCAACATGTAAGCTCACTCTTCAGCCTGTCAAAACATGAAACGAAACTGAATGTACCAGTTCACACTTATTTATTTTGATACATGACAAATGTTTGAAATAACACAAACTAATGGCACACACATCACATCCTCAAGCAAACAATTGACTAAGTTTATAATGTTAACAGAGAAATAATTTTTTATACCAAAACAAGTCTGGTTTTTTACATTATTACCATTCAAATAAATCATCTTTAGACAGATTTTTTACAGTTTTTAACCCCTAAATACATTACCCCTGTCTCTAGTAATCCCCCCCCCAAAAAATGGCTTAAATATTTTGAATCTCTCTTCATAATTTGAAGTTTTTAATAAAACTAATTTTAAGAAACCATTTCTGCACTCTTTTAGCATGTTGATATCTTTCCTGTAGAAAGAGGACCAAAAGTACACATAGTATTGTAATTGGGGTGTCACCAGGTTTTGGCACATACTGCTGTAGTTTTTATTCTTACGTACAAAATCTCTAGAGATACCAGAACTGTTATTATGTTGCTCTTTTTTCATCATAGATAAACAAAAAGCTGAAAGTTTATGTCTTATTAACAATTACACATAAATATTTATGGAGTTTTAAAGTCATTTTAACTCACTGTGTAATAACCTAAATTAATTTAGGTATGTGCATTATATTGTGGCATTGTGCCAAATTTATTTTTTATTATTATACATTGGACCAACTGTTTGGCAATGATATTACAGATTTTTTTCATTCCACAAAAGTAAAATAGAAAATATAATTTGTGACATAGAGGCCTAATATATTTTTTTGATTGGTCATACCCTCTGTTGTGGCCTGCAGTTTAACATATTCAAGACTCATCAGCACAGCTTGGGTCAGCAAGCCAAAGAAATATAGTAAGGCCTCTTATAATGATGGGGTGTATAGAATATTTATGGAATAGTTTTTAAGTCACCATTTAGTAATCTAAAGTAATTTACGTATGTGAATAATATTGTGGCATTATGACAAATTTATTATTCAGTATTACACAGTGGACCAACCATTCAATGATATTACAGATTTGTTTTCACCAAAGGTAAAATAGAAAGTATAATCTGTATCTAAATATAAGCTATATTTTAATGTTGTAATTTGTTTGTTAGCTAGAGGGCATAGCATGCCTAGAAAGTTCTAAGGATGTGATGTTTGCAGTGAGATTATAAATAAGAGATAGTTGTGAAGTGTGGAAAGTTTTTGAAAGTAATGTTGAATCAGTCAGTGTGTTATTGTGAAGTATTTGGATCTGTGTTTGCTATTTTGCTTGTTGAGTTACTTTGAACAAGTAAATGGATTTATTTTACATCAGTTAATACCATTTGTAACATAGGCCTACAACAATTTACAACAATGTACAAGTGTTCAAGCTTGTAGAAACATTAAAGAAGAAAATAAAGTACTTTATTATTGTTACATGGACTGGATTTTCAATTATTTTTACCAAATAATTTAAAATAACCTGCCAATGAAAGAACAATGTTACAACACTACTAAAGGACCACTATTTAACATAACTTTTTATGGTGAGCATATTACATGAATTTGATAACCTTTCAATTTAAATTCAATGTTTTGAGCCACAAATAAAACATTTTTGTTGCTTCTCTTAGTCTTAATGTCACTTTCTTAATTTTGATATTTAAACTTTTTTTTGATAATTCTCAGCAGTCTTTTAATCTTGTCCATTTTGTTTAATGATTTAATTTTCTTGTTTATTCATTGTGAAATAATGAAATATTTGGTTTAAAAAGAAAATTTGGAAAGAATATGTTCCTTTTAAGCTTAGTTAATCATCTAACAGGGATTTCTTTCAAAGTTCCATGACAATTTTTGATATTTAATTTTTCTTCTCAATCTTTCAATCTCATGCTTTTATCCAATTTCTGAAATTCAGCTTTTCAAAAATGAGGACATAGTTTACTACTTCTACAATTGTCTTAAAGAACAGGTTACAAGAAATATAAGAAACAACAGGGACGATGTAATGGTGATGTGATTGCTGATACTGAAATGTTCTTGCAGTACCTACTTCTTATCATGAAAGAATAAAAATATATTTTCAGTTAATTTGTAAAGAATTGTCTGTTGAAGATAATTATAAGTGTATATATATATTTTTTTCCTTATTTTGTATATATTTTCATAGAATTCATGTCATTTTTCTTGGAAAACTATCCTGTCGATTGGGAAAGCATATGTCTTTACTGATTTGATGCCTGGGATACTGAGTAAGGTATGTGTATTAATATGACTTGAAACATTCCTAAACATAGAGTTTTATCGAGCACAATGTTTTCACTTAAATAAGTTACCTTACAAAGTTTATCTACAAGTTAATAATGAGTACTTTTAAATAACAGATATTTGAAATATACTTTACTGAAGTAGAAGTATTTTTTCAGATTTAGATTAATTTGCTGGTAAGTTTGTCAACAAAGGATATGAAGAAAACTTATAAAGTAACCCATTTTAATATAATTGTTTCATTTTCATAAAAAGGTTTTGACTCAGTAAAATACGATCAGATATGATGTTTCTTATTTTTAATCAGCTCAAAGGGTCTTATCACTTTAGAGGGTTTATACCTTATCTCTTTAAACCTGTGCTGACACTGCCAGTGTCTGGCTGAAAATCCCGATTTATCCATTGGACAGTGACAGCATCTGAAAACTAGTCCAAATCATGTTATTACGAACCTTTTATAAATAGACTGGAAATTTTATAAGGTATGGTAAGGACTATTAGGACATCATGAAAATAATTTCAGCAGAACCTGCAAAAAATTATGGGTTTAAAGAGTTAACATTGAAACAAGGGGAATTTGTAAATTAGGAGTCTAGGCTTTAACCTTTATTGGTTATACTAGTTTCTTCCATATGTGTGTATATGGAAGAATAATTAAGCATCTGAAGCTTTCTGTTTCAAGTGTTATTGGTTGTATTGTTTAAGCCATGTGAATTTCATTCAAATTTCAGAAAATTTGTAAAGTTTAGAATGTTACACACTTTAAATGAAATATTTTGGTCAATTTTATCAAGAAACAAGGGTCCAACAACATAGAACAGTGGTGTAAGCTGTTTCTAGTCTAAAGAAGAATGAATATAGTTAGTAATTTACCAAACTCTGTATGAATTTAATATATTTAAATGTCTTAATGACATATTAAGAGTAAAAAAAAACAACTGTTTTTTGCTTTTAATATAGTAATACAATGTACCTGAAAATAAGTTATTCTTAGTGACCTTACTTTATTATATTTTGTTTCATGAATTCTTAAAATTTTAAAGTATTTTGCAAATAGAACTTTGTTTATTGCATTGGGTTTTCTTAACTTGCATATTTTGATATTCCCAGTTGCTAATACGTAACTATTCATCTTAAAAAAAAACAACAACATATTTTTCAATAATGACATTTTCTATTTCTTGAAATCTGGCATTTAGTAAACAATTTTCGCTATAGTTTAGACAGTGTTTTTCCTTTTCTCACTAACTTGTTAGAAATGATTAATTTATTTGCAAGATTTATGAAATTAGTTTCAATGAGCCATTGTTACACTGAATTTATAATTTGAAACAAAGTGTTTTGAATTTCTTGCGATTTTTGATGGATGTCTCTCTCAGTGTTTCAAGAAGGGAACATCACCCAGGACAAGTGTATTAAGTACAACTTCCAAGTCACTTTGTATTGAGAAAGAAGAATGGGAAAAAAGTCAGCAGTATGATGTGAGAGTAAGAGAATTATGTATATAATTTTATTTTAATAATTGTACAGCTTGTTTTAAGGATATATAAGTATTTCTAATTGTTGGTAGTCATAGCTTATCTATAATGGCCTGTATTGAAAGACACGTAATTTGGCAATAGGCTCATAGTATTCATTTTATATTAGATATATCACAGTTTGAGATTTACCAAAATCCTAACTGTCTTATATAGAAATTTATTATTCCAATACAATTACTTAGTTACAGCTATTCTCGAAATCAAGCACTAGGTCTTAACATTGTCATGCCAAATCAAAATATAAAGATTAGTTTCAACTGCATAGAGGGAGTCAGCTGTGATAGGAGGGTTTATCGTACTTCTATTGGTGGAGGACTGTCGCATGCTAATTTGCATGCTTAAATGCAGCTGAATCATGTGATATGCACGTGGAATTAAATGCAGCTGAACCATGTGGTATGCATGTGGAATTAAGTGTGAGTTTCAAGGCTAGTGGCAAGCAAAAATTTGCTCACTAGAGGGCAGTCAAATTGAGGATAACTGTGAGGGGAGGTAAGTATCTATTGGAAATATATTTTCAGTGTAAGAAAATATTAGCTTTTACTCAAATTTCTTATATTACTATTACATAATATTTATGTAACATTTTGTATTAAAAATGCCAAGAAGAAAAGCCATATTATGTACAAATAAGTATTGAAAATATAGTGTAAATGAATGAAACTTGAATATGGTTTGTTATTTTTGCTCTTGTAGGAAATTTCAAAAACACTGAAACAGTTATCTCTAACCAAGTCAGATGAAGGATATGTGCAAAACAAAGAATCAAGGAGACTTATTTCATATGAGGTAAAAACAGTATATAAATGGATAAATATAAAAAAATAGTGTGTTTGTGCATATATATATATATATATATATATATATATATATATATATATATATATATATATATATATATAGTTATATTAT